GGGCAACCATTTCTCCTTCACCCTCCCACCCCACCCCCACTCTCTAAGGGCTTTCTAAAAAGGTGCTTTCAGAGAAGGAGGCTGTGTTTAATTTTGTGCAAATGCAGAGTTGAGGGTGCAGGGCTTTGGGGCTGGGTCACTCTGGTAACACTTCCCACATAACTTTATCAATGGATGGGCCATGAAAACTTATCCTATGTTTTTTTACACCCCACCCCCAAACCACCCAACGTGCGCAACTGTTAGTTTTTCAAATCTAGAGAAGTTTCAAAGGCCTGAACCCAACACAGAGGCCTTTCTTCATGCTTTGATTTTCTGCCCATTAAGTGTTTGTCAGTGAGTTCATATTTCGCCACCTCTGCAGCCTACACATCCCAAGGAGTCCTTGGAGATATAGAAAGTTAATTGATCCTTGATTAAAAAGAGGGAGAAATGCTTGAGTCTGGCTCTACAATTATCAGGTTATTATTATTATTATTATTATTATTATTATTATTAGGCTCTGCTTTGTAAAAAGCTTGTAATGCACATTTTATTATCAATAAATTAAAATCCCAGGATATTGGCTTCAGAGTTTTGATTAAACTAGATACATGTGTAAATTACTAGCACATATGTGGTATGTGGTGACTATTCAGTGAACATTAGCTAGTGCTCTTGCTTGATTCTTCCAACATTTATTTATTTATTTTGTGAAGGTAATGAGAGTTACTGAGCTTCGTTTAACTTATTAATACTCATAGATGCTTCCTTCTCAGTGTTTTCAATGACTCATTTCAGAAAGCACCTGAGATTTAGAATCAGATCATTTGAATCCCATCCAGCTTGGTTGCTTACTTGCTGAGTGACTCTGGTAACACTTTAATCTCTCTGAACCTTAAAGTGGCTTAACATATTAGTTTTATGACTGTTTCTCCTATTAGCCTTTGGGCCACTTGAAGGTTGGGATTTAACCTCTTTCATCTCCATAGCCCAAACAGTTCCTGAAGCCAGTAGGTAGCTAGGTTTGTCAGACCCAGGAGTATATGTGGCACATCCTAAGTATGGGTACATAATAGTTCTTCAGTAAATATTAGCTGTTTTTGGTCTTTGTGCTATTTTTCTCTTTCTCCCCTTCATCTACTTGTATTTCTCTCCTAGCTCTGTAGCAAAGTTTTAAATTATATTCTTGTAGTTACCAACTGTCTTAGTTACTTTCTCGTTGCTGAGACAAAATACCCAACACCCATAAGGGAAGGGAGGACAGGTTCATTTAGCTCAGTTTGTAGAGGTTTCAGTCCATAATTGGCTGACTCCAAGGCAAGGTGTCTTGACAGAGGGGCAGTGCAGAGGAGAAGTTCATGGAAAGCAGAAGACAGCAAAAGCAAGCAAGCAAGGGGCCTGCCATGCCTTTTTCTGTCCCTTATATTGTATCCAGTGTACTGGATTAGGGTGATCCCTAACCAATCAGAGTACTGATTTACTAATCACCCACCCTTAATCCTAGCACAACACCATGAATCAGACACATACTTTGATTCAGCCACCTATGACTATATGAGGTTTTGGGGGGAACATCTAGACACAACCATAACACCAACATTTTGTGACTGCCAGTATTGGTATCTCTAAACTACACTGATTTTTCTCATGAATGTGCTTTGTCTGTGGATCTTAAAAACCTTAGTACATTTGTATTTCTGACTTTCTTACAACACCAAGTTCTCCAGGAAAGGTGCTCTGATAGGTTCACTTTCAGCATCCTACTATCTAGCACTGGAAATATTCTTTGAGATGAAGTGATGAGGGGCTGTGGGAAGCAAGATGGTACCAGTGTTGAAAATGAACATTCTGCTTTGGAAAAGCACAGCCAGCCTTCCCCATGTCTTGCAGAAGCCAAGCATGGTCTTATGTCTCATGGGGACCAGCTACCCTGTTGGGGATGTTTATGAAGCGCCCATCAACTGAAGGGAGCCTGAGGTTACCCTCCTTCTGGAGCAAAGCCAAAATTTGACTGGCATCACCCCAATAATGCCACAAGTTTGTGGGAGAGACAGAAAAAGCCTTTGGGTTTTCTAAATGCTATCTCCATGCCTTTCAAGAAAATAAACAGAATATATTCCGATCCAGCTTCTTGTCTGTTTGTGGTCATCATTCACAAAATCACAACCGGAAACCACCCCCAAGGCATAGGCAAAGAAAGAAGAAAAGAGATTTGGATGGAACCCAGTCTAAGAGAGGACAGAGGAACTGGCCAGAAGGAGTTTTCTTTCTTAGCCATCTCTGTGGGCCTTTTTTTGGTCCTTCTCACTGTTGGCACTGAGTGTTTATAATGTCTCAGACTTTATGCTGATGTTACTACCCAGTGTTGTTGCCTTAAATTTGTCCAACTGAAGCTTCCTGAACTAATTTTTATTCCCTCTATCTTCTGACCTGACTGTAAGCTCTCTGAGGTTAGGGTCTGGGCCATCTTGTATTATGATTACACATAATAAAAACATAGTTAAGAGTCAACAAATATTTGTTGAATAAATGAATGAACTCCTAAGCACATCAACTTGTACCATCCCAATCATCCTTAAGTTGAGTTCATTCCTTGCACTGACCAGATGAGAAAGGGAGATTTGGAAATGTAAAGTCACTTGCTCAAGTAGCAGGGAGCAGAACCAAGATCATTAACTAAGTTCTAACTCCGAAGCTCTTTTATATGTGTTTTATTGTCCTTAGAAACACATGTTTTATAGGCCCATCATGGGAACACTATTAAAAATAGAAGCTGGAGGCCTAAGAATGTAGCACAAACGTAAGGCCCTCAGAGTCCATTCCTTTCCTGAGTTTATTAGCAACGCCTTGACTTCCAGGCACCTTGGGCTCAGACTTGGAGCTAAACATTTTCATCATGATGTGTGGAACTTTAAAAGCAGACTATTAATATAATACTGCTGGCTTCTTGGCTACTTTTCATACCCTACTTGGTCACATTTCAAAATGTTTAGGCTGTAGATTGAAGATATCTTTTCCAGGTCCCCCACCCCAAAAGATCAGCTGACTTGTGTCACTTCCACGCCAAACATTTGTCCACTGCCTCCCCTTCTGCCCTACTCCTAAGCAGAGACAGAGTTTCAAAAGTTAATGGTGATTGCCTTTCCGGGCCCCTCTGTGTTTACTTTGAGAAGGTCAGGCACAATGCTGTGGTGTGTTGCTGTTCTTTTTTTTTCAAAGCACCAGTATGAATTTGATAAAGTAAATTGTTGTGCTAGCAGGAAGCAGTTAGGGGTTACAAAATAAATAGCTGTAGAATTCAAATAAATCTCAAAGAATAAAACCAAATAAATCCATGTGCATATGCACAGTGATACATAAATACACTTTTTAGAAAGTGACCATTTTTATCACTGTCAGTCTGCACCAAAGTAATTGAAAAATTATGGCATTCATGGTACTTTTTTTTTTTGGATGTGGTCTAGGTCATTGAGCAATGTGACGTGAATTTAATTCTTTCTGAAAAACTAAAAATGGAACTTTATCTTTTAAGCAACTGTTTATCTGGGGATTTTTCAGCTAATGAACTTCACATTTGGATGAGAGCAATTTGCAAAGTTCAATTAGAGGTTTAGACATGGAAGGTGTGGACTAAGAGGCTATAAATGGACTAAATATTCTGAGTCTTCATTTGATGATGAGGAAGTAATGCTTAAATGATCCTCTGAAACGACCAGTCAGGCTTATTGAAACATTTAATACAGAAACACATTGTCTGGGCATAGTCAGTGATGGTTATTACCAAGATTTTTTATAGTCTTCCCTAGTCTTGACATTCAGCAAAAGTTTTGGCCCTCTCACTTTGTCAGGTGGTGCTAGAGTCTGTTACTGAGCTTGGATAAAGGACAGCAAGAAGTATCTCAGTCCAGGGGAACAGCAGGAACAAGCAAGACACAGTCTCAGTGGACTGTTTTCTTGGGGTGCAGCAGAACAGGAGGCTGGGGAAGAGAGTTCAGGAGTAGACACTTTATCTCAATGGTAGATACATTGCTAATGCTTTAGTGAGGCAGTGCTGTGCCTGTGGTCAGGGCCCTTAGGAAGCAAGCAGTAAATATATGCAGGAGACACTGAGGGCCAGGAAACCTGTTAGGAGGCTATGGTAGTGTCTGGATAGGAGACCTTATGGACATTTGCTTTATACTTCAGAGTTTTGAGAGCCCTTTCTGGGCAGATGATGGACTCCCTGACCTTTGAGAGAATGGCACTGAGCTAGCAGCAGCTGTTACAGCTGCCTGGTGCCCACAGTGCCCTTGGGCACCTGGCCAGGTCTGCAAGCAGCTGAGCTGAGCTCAACGCTGCTCGACTCCCTGGTGACCCTGAACAGTGAAAGCAAAGGCTTCAACATGGCATTCATTGAGTGGTTCCTACACACCGTGCTAGCGGTTTTATAGATGTCAGTCTCCTTTATCGTCACTGCAACTCTGTTGACTGGGAAAACTGAGGCTTACAGAGTTGGAGTGAGGTCGCAGCACTAGAAAGTGGAGGAGCTAAGACTAATTCCAGGTTCTCTTACTCCTCGGCCTGCACTACTTCATGCAGCATGGCCTTAGGCTGAGCCTCCCAAAGGGGAGCTGGGGGACACTAGGAAACAAATGCCCTTGGAGGCAAAAATGGGGCATGATTAGCTTTGGGGCTATATTAGTAGTTATTACAAATGGCACTTTCATTTTTAGCAGGGTGTTGTGCAAGGGTGGAAAATCTCTGCCCTGACTCTTCCATGACCTCCCTCTGAGCTCTTGGGCAAGACAAGAATATAGCGCCCCTTTCCTCACAGGGAAAAGAAAGGAGGAAGGGAGATGTTTGTAGCAAGTGATCCCTGTGGGCTGTGAATGGCTGTAAATGAAAGGAGTCAGTGTCACCATGCCTTGGCTTGGGATGGTCCTTGCTCTGGTCCTTGCTCTAGGTGGCTCCTCTTCAGCTTCCTTGCATTGATGTTCTCTCCTTTCCTTCCCCCCTCTTCCCTATGTGCGTGGTTCCAGCCAGCCTGCCCTTCCTCATCATCGAGTCGAGCACCATCAAGCCTTACCACCGAGGATTTTACTGCAGTGACGAGAGCATCAAATACCCGCTGAAAACAGGGGAGACCATCAATGATGCTGTGCTCTGTGCAGTGGGGATCGTCATTGCCATCCTCGCGGTAAGTGTCCCGCCTCTGCAGTGCTCATGCTCTCTTGACTTCCTCCTGCATTGTGATACCATAGACAGTCTGAGCCAACAGCACTGTAACAAGCCAGCAAAGCTATTGGCATCTTCTATCAAGCAGAACTTCATTTACTACTACTTACATCTTGCAGCGAATACTGTTGCAAAAGCCAATAGTTACTGTACAATAAAGGCGTGCTAAGCACCCTTTGAATTGTTTTCTGCATATTATCCTCACAGCAGTCCAATCAATTGTAGATATTATTCTTCTATTTCTTGTGCAACTTAAGAAATTAAGGTCCACAGAATAAGGCTAATTTTCCAAAGCTCACTTGATTAAGAAGTCCTGGTGCTGAAATTTGAACCTGTCTTGTCTCTTACCTTACGGTCTGAGCTCTGAGCCCTAGAGATGAGCGAATACCTTGCTGACTAACCCAGCTATTTGCTGTGTTCCCTGAAGACCCTCCCTGCACTGCAGAAATAGTGAGGAGGCCACTGATGTTCTCTGGTATGTTGTTTGGTTCTCCTGCCAAGTGGCTGTGGTGCTAAGGTAAATAGGACCTGGAGTCCAGAGATACAAGTTCTAGATCTGGCCCTCCAGTATCACAAGCCATACAGCTTTACATCGAAAGATGGCCGACCTGCTTCACAGTGTTGCAATAAGGAGTAAAGAGACCGTGAATGTTACCATGCATTCCAAACTGAATTATTAAGCAGGTGATTCATGTGTAGTGTAAAGTCCAGGCCTCCATATGCAGGACTTCCCTTAAAGGGGGAAACCTTCATCGCAGAGATGTGCCATGGGTTTAAACAAGATCTAGATTTATTTTGATCAATGGTCATGTCATGGGCATTGGGGAGAGGAGGGTGAGGGTAATTAAAATGCAGTCTTATAATTTGTGAGTCCTTCATTTTCACACCTGTCCATTTCACACTCCCTACATTTGCTGTTTATTCTCTGCCCTTGAACCTTTGCCATGTGGGTGAAAGGGACAGGCAACACATCTAGTAAGATCATAGCTTCTCTTGCCTGAACTGCCTTTCTGTTGAGCATAGGCTGCATACTTATCTTTGGCCTGCATTAAGAAGCCAAAGAGGAAGGTCGTTAGTATCAACAACACTAAATGTGAAATAAATACTCTTATCCCCATTATGCAGATGGAACATCTAAAGCTCGTAGGGATTAAATGACATGCTTAAAGTCTACAGGTAATAAAAACTAGAGTTGAAGGCCTACCTCATTTCAAAGTCCCCTTTGCATCTTGCAGACTTAGGTTTCAGGATGCAAGCTTATGCAGATGAACTGCTCGAGGGGATAGGCAGTCAATTTATCTTGCCTGCTCTGAATCTAGTCTGAGCTGCTAATATTACAGGAACCACACATTGCACGCAGCTTTTCTTTTGACACCCGCTCTGGGGGCTAGTTGTAAACTCTGAGACCCCTCTTTGTTTTTTAATAACATCGTAATCCAGGCACACAATCAACAGTTTGAATTCAGGGAGTTGGAAAGGAGGGGTGGGAGAATTCTTTCCAACCTTTAAAATAAAAACAGCCCATTGGGCAAGTGTAGAATTTTCTTAGAGGTGGACTAAGAATCTTTGTGTTCAAACATTGAAAAGTGAAAAGTCTAGTTTTGCTTCCACTTGACAGTTGTGGGGTTGAGTTCTAGAAGACTGGCTTTTCTGGAAAAGGCATTTGTCCTGAAAGCAAAGAACTGCACAACTGCACAGTACCTTGTGCTAAAGTATGAGCAGGTGTTTTGACAGATGGAGCATCAGTTAAATGAATGCTTCAAGGGAGTGCGTTATAACCCAGGAGCACAGGGAGGTAAGGACAGCACCCATGCTGGGACCTGGATGTCTCCTGTTCTGCTCTCCACGCAGCGTTGTTTCCAGCTTACCTAGTGCACTGATCCCAGGCACGCTGCAGTGGAAAGGAAAATTGGGTGCCTTTTTCATGTGGATTAGGAGAATCCTTGGTTTTCTTCTATAAAATGGGAGTGGTGTCGGCAGTCCTTCCAAGGGACAGCCTTAAGAATCAAAGCCATGATGCTGGACACACACACCCTGCGACGTGCAGAGATGGGGTCCGCAGGTACCAGGAACAGAGGAGTGGCTCTGGGGCTCTCAGTGGGCCCAGAACGAGCAATGTTAAAGTGGTGCCTTTCTTTGCTGTGTCCTCAGGCCAGCCCTGCCTTCGGGAGATGCCTGGGTGTCTTAAGAAAAGCTTGCTTTTGGTAGCTTAGTAGGGGTTGCCCCTTTCTTTGTGTTATATTGATGCTTTGACTAAAATGTTCCCCAGGTTGTTGGGTTTCCTGGGAACAGTCGTAGACTCTGGGCCTTAGCTATAGGCTAAGCAGCGTGTTGTTGTCCTGATCCATACAACATCACCAAAACAGGTTTAGATACGACTTTTCTACGGTTCAGATAAACACCAGGCAAGAAAACACCACAGTGACTGTTGTGTGCTGTGAGAGCACACGGTCGTGTTGGCACACTTTGCTGTGGTCCAGACTGTTCAGTATGTGAGGAGTCAGCCTCAGGGAGCCTCGGTAGATTCATGTGCACTTCACTAAGCTTTTAACAACCATGAAATGAGCTCTCGGAGGTAGTGTCACTCAGTGCTGGTACCTATCATCTACACGATAAATGTTTATTGTCTTTATTACAAATGAGTACCCGGTTAAAAAGCAAAGTGACTTAGCCAAGATAACACATCAGCTAAAAATAGTCAGAATGAAAATAGTTCACACTGGTGTGCTCGGTTCTGGATTCTGGAAAAGCCATTTGACTAAATAACAGCAACAGCAGCCATACCACCAGGCCCCCCACCCGCCCCCTTACCCCCACCCACTAGAGTGGCTGGCTTAACCCAGATGGGCTTCTGATCCAAGCGTCTGGGTGACAGTCACAGCAGGGGGCAGCTGCAGAGCTGGGACTCTCATCATCCTGCTACTTGTTGCCCTGGGCCTCCTCCTGGCGAACATCAGGCTTGTTGAAGAGAGCAAGAGAGGCCTGGCCTCATGTGGATGCCCTGGCTCCGGCTTGGACTGTTCCCACAACAAAGGCATGGAGTGGCAGCCGAGGAGACCAGTGTGGTTTAGCAGTGCAAATCCGCAGACGTGATAGAGAAAGCAGACACCTTTCTGTAGCAAGATTTGTGGAAAAACCTAGTCATTTTGACCTCTTTTTCAGATGTATCTCAGATTCTGGAATTATAGCATAATAGGAATTCCTTCCAAATCCACAAAGCAGTGGTTCCTATCCCTGCCTTACAAAGGCTTAATGACTCTAGCAGCAGCGAGGTTAGGCGCAGACAGTAAAATACCACCCCCTAGCAAGCCTCTTCGCACATGGGCATTGAAATGCAGTATGCAGTCCTAGGGACGAAGATTTCAATATGGCAAAAATGCTCAGCGTTCATGTTAGATAAACATGGGCTCAGTGCTCGCCTTGGTCAGGCCCCCTAAAGCAGTGTGACGGTAGTTCGATAACTTCATGATGCCCTGTGTGTGATCAGGAAGACCTGTCCCTTTCATTTCTGCAGGGTTGCAGTTTACAAAGTGGCCCCTGTGTGCCCAGCCTCTTCCTTGCACCTGGTAGTCATCCAGGCGGTTGACTGTTTGAGCGGAGACAGGGATTTTCATTATTCTCCCAGAGCTGGCAGAGCAAGACCAGGGATCTTGGTTCCAAAGCCAGGGCTTTTTCACTAACGGCGCCACTGCTGTCTCCTGCAGCCTCGCACCTTCTTCAGGGTTTGGTACCTCTGGTGTCCAGGTGCAGGGAATGCAGCTCTCAGTGTCAGCCTGGTGAGATGTATGTGGCCTGGTGGCACTAAACAGCTCCATCTTGAGCAGGTGAGGGGCTCCTTCACTGCACATCTCCCTGTGTCCCAGCTCTTGTCCCCCCAGGTAGATGACAGGCTTCTGGAAGACCGAGGTGTGGTCTCCTCCTCTGTGGCATGGTAGGTGCTTGGCTCCCTCCTCTGCCACCTTCCAAAGGTCCCAGAGAACCCCAGGCCCACCCCTGTCCTTGCTGTCCCTGTCCGAGTGAGTTCTCTTATCTGTTTACTTTGTCTGCTTCCTGCCTGTCCTGTTAGCCATGTAGGGTAGAGTTTGAGCTACTACAGGGCACAGACTGTGGCGCTCAGTACACATTTGTAAAAACCAGCAGAGGCCTTGCATCATGGGGAGAAAGTCTGAAGCTTTAGGCCCCAGATCTCATCTATAGATCCAGGAAATGTTTCCTATTTGCTTCCCTAAAATCCTGAATCTGCCCCATGAGGCGCACGGGAACACACTTTGTAGGTTATGCAAATTTCTCACTGGAGAGACAAGAAGAGCTCAGTACCACCAGGACTTGTTTATTCAGGATCAGGCTTCAGTTTGCCTGCATCTGGACCTCATTAGTCCCCCTCCCCATCTCCCTTTATCTTCAAGAGCTCTGCCAAGAAAACAAGGTTCCCCAACATCACCTCCTCATTAAAGGTTAGTCGGGTTTTCAACTCTGAAAAAAGTGAAGTTGTGCTGGCCCAGCAGTGCGTTCGTGGGAGACCGGGTCCCCTAGTTTACAGTGCACTACATCTGTGCAATTACCAAGACCACCAACAGAGAGGCTACATTAATCCTCCAACTATGTTGTCCCTGGATCAGATGGCTACAGAGTTCTTCTGAGACTTTCTTATTCCTGGGGGATGGTAGGAGGGGGGTATCTATTTGTGATTTAACAAACACAGACATCGAGATCTTGCTGTTTAGGATTTTGTTTGTTCTAGGTCCCCACCACCTGCACTTATTCTCTTGCCTGAGAAGAGGTGAGACTGGCAACCATTTTTCTTTACTTATGGGAAGTCCCTTAATTAGGGCTTCGTGACTGTTGGAAAAATGTATCTGGTATGAAGGAGACAGTAGTCTCCATCTTAAGTGACATGGACAGGAAGTACGTTCTGTGCCAGTAGTCAGTGTGTGTCGAGAATGGGGGTAGGAAATGGAATAA